GGAGGCCCCCAGCCCCAGATCTGGAGTCCGGGTGTTAGGCCTGCAGCCCCCGTAGGGAGAGCCCTCCGGAAGGCTGTTTGTCCCACAGAGGGCGAGGGGAACGTCTGCTTCTATCTGTGCGGTGCGGTATTATCGCTAGCTCGCATGAAGGCGGGAATTTTAAATGCCTGTGCGTCTTGTTATTTCGCTTTCGGGCAACTCTCGCTTTTGTTTTCACCTCGGGGGAAAAACCCGTAGGAGTTTGAGGAGGAATCTGCAAATGCTGAAGCGCTGCTGTGCTTCAGGTGCTCAGGTGTATCGGCAAAGCTGTACCAGGTGCTGGGGTATCGCAGTAGCACAGAGAGGGAGTGTTGTTAAAAACGTGTCGTGGACTTGCTTTTTTCTTTTTTTTTTTTTCCCCCCTTTTTGTTAAAGCCCTCTGGGTCAGACATAAAGCATATGCTTGGCAGTCTTTGCAAGTTACCTTGATAATGAGTGAAAGCATATCTGTGTGAACTAAACTTTAGTGTTAAATGTCTTCTGTAGTTATTTTCAAGTAACTGGCTTACTTTTCTGGCTGTGTAAAAAAAACTTTATAGAGTAGAATATAGTCGTAAAACACGATTTATAAAACAGAAGCTATATAGCTATAGCACATTCTGGCCCAGTGAGAAATTGAGAAGGTTTGGGGCGGAGGGGGGGGGGGGTTAGTTTATATTTCCTGTCAATGATCTTATAATAGCATGGTGTCTTCAGTGATTTGTAAGTATATGAAAAAAATCAGGTTCAGTCTCCCTTTTTTGGAAGTTACCATCTTTCTCAGAAGAGTGGAGGCTTGTGATGAATGAAGCTCTCAATAGACAGATCACTCCTATTGAAAGTACTAGATCTGTTTGTATACAGGATCCAGATCTAAATATTTTACTGAATATGCTCAAAAAAGCAAAGTTCGGCAGGTCTCACAGGCTTTCATAATTCAACCTTAGATATATATAGAATGGGGCTAACGAAAACTTCCGTTCTCAAATAACAATACTTTATAATCTCATAATGAAAAAAAAAAGTGAGGTTTCCTGTAGTTTTCAATTTTTTGTACTTATTTTTTTCTTTATTATTTGTAATCTTATGGAACATTAAGTGTTTGTAATGTATTTGTCTTTCCGTTAATTAAGTACCACGTGACATTCCATAACAATATTTAGAAACCAACCAACACAGTTTTTTAAAAAATGTGTATTGATGGAGACTGGCAGGAGCCAAATGATAACATCAAAAAAGACATCTTCCTTTTTTTGCTAGGTGTTCTCTTGTTAGATCCCCCTGAATATCACACTTGTCTTTTCAGAAGGTTTGGATGCCTTTTGTTAGCCTCCCCTATGTATCAGAGAGATTGATCACCCTGGACTTCAAGAAATTATGGCATGTATTTGCATGCTTTATTTATATTTTGAACTCATTTTATGTGCTTGAGGTATACCAACAACAAAAGCAATACATTATGCCCTGTATGCATACAACTAAAATAGGTTGAGTGATTAAAGTATGGGAAAAATGGATTAGAGAAACATGATTTCTGTTGAAAATAAATCTTAACATGAGAACTTGATTTAAAAACAACCTGCAATTCCTGCAGTGCAGAAATGATGTATTACTGATTGGCTGCCTTGCTTTAAAACAGTTCTAGAGTATAAAACAACGCACCCTACGAAGACTCTCTCTGTTCTGACAGGCTGTGGTGGCAATAAGTGTGGAAGATTGCTGAATTTAACATGGCCATGTTCACTGGAGGCCGCAAGGTGGCATAGCTCCTGATGTGTCTTAAGCAGATCTCAGAGCACAGGTAGCTAGCTCATCTAGTCATTTATTCAAAGGAGGGTTTTATTTTACCTGAGTGTACAGTAGTTTCAAACTCAGGATGAAAGAAATACAAAACATTCCAGATTTTATTTCATTTTTATCTTCGAATATTGAGGGAGAAGAGGGAAAAGTAGAGAAATAAACATGAGGCAGACTTTGTACAATAAGACAGTGCAGGAACAGATTGGTACTGTGAGGGGGGAAAAGCAAAGTATGTGTTAAAGGCCGCATACAGAAATGGCAAGGTATGAAAACTAGAAGAATAATGAAAAAGGAAAGAAGGAAAGGAAGAAAATTAAATCCGGTAATGGGGTAGCATGGAGAATAGAGTTATATAAGTTAAATAAGAGGCAAAGAAATATACCACCTAACGGGTGTATGTTTTCAGCTGGCATTCATTATAGGTAGCACCAGTCACACAATACCAAAATTAAAATAATAAAAACATACACACTGATGTGTTTCTGGAATCACAGTGTTATAAATGTTAAAATGTTTGTTGGAAGGGACCTCTGGAGGTCAGTAATGCTGATTCCCTCCTCAGAGGGGGACTTCCACCGGTGTTGGAGTAAACCAGTAGGACAGTATGCTGGCTGGATGTTGAAAATCTGCAAGAATGGAGCTTCTGCAACCTCTGGGCAACCAGTGCTGCAGTACCCTCTCATTTTTTTTTCCTGAAGTCCGACTTGAATTTCCCAAGCCAGAATCTCTGGCTGTTGACCCTTCTTATATAATCTTGGTTTACTAAGGAGAGTTTAAGTTCAGTCATCGTTGTAAATATTCCTCAAGTAGCTTTAAGCTACTTCTATTTGAACAGAAACATTTTAATGTGAATCCTGCCACTTCAGATCAGGAAGTAATTCCCTCGAGAGGTGTGGTTTTTCTTTGGTTTTGAGAAAAGCTTGGATTGTGCATATGTAAGGGACACATGAGACTTGGAAATGGATGATTTTTTTTTTCCCCCCTTTTTTTCTCCCCAGCTGAGTTTGGTTTTATTTATGTTTAGGCTATTAGCAATGAAAATGTGCAGTCCAAAGAAGGTATTTAGTAATAAACCATCTGTGAACTGGAGTCACTACACACTTAGAAGGCTTGATTGCAGGTGTTCTTGGCTCATAAAAGTAAAACTGATAATGACTAAATATTTATTTTCTGAACCTCACATTCATGATATGTCATACTTCATGTTATATTCTGAATGTATTTTGTTTCGCTTGGTCTTCACAGCTAAAACCTTCATGCTGACAACAGAGAAGCTAGAACAATGGGAGTGACTAATCTGTGGCAAATCCTTGAGCCTGTGAGACAACCTGTCAACTTGAGCAGTCTCAAAGGAAGAACGCTTGCTGTTGATTTAAGTCTGTGGGTTTGTGAAGCACAGACCGTTAAAAAGATGATTGGAGTAGTTACCAAGCCACATCTGAGGTATGGTATCCATATAAATTATTGTAGCCAAAAGTCTTGGAGCTATATAATTTAGGTATGGTACTTACTCCAAATTTAAGACTACCTCTGAAATTCATATGACTGTGTTGTTTTGATTCTGTTATTGTCGCTTGTGCTACATGCGTAAAGGGTTTGAAGTGAAGGCTCAGTCATACTGGGTGAATTCAACTTGATGCTCAGGTGCAAATAGAAGTTCTGGGGCCCAGCCTACTTTGTCTCGAGGCCTCAATTGTAGATAAGGATGAGATGGATGTAAGCAGAACCATGTTTATCTTACTGTGGCATAGCACTGTGATACACAAATTATCAAGGAACACAAATCAACGTGCTAATTCCTATATATTTCTGAGGCTGTATGATGGAAGGTAGTATGGGAGTTTCAACTATTTTTCACAGCAGTTTGCATGCTAGTCAATTCAGAGCATACTGAGAGTCATGCATGCTCTAGCCTGATCTGACTTATAAATTAAAATTCTAGTTAGACCCCATGTTGAATTAAATATGTTTAAATCGTTCTTCAGGCTTATAAACAACCTTGAAGAATATGTATATTTTTAATTTAAATGAATCACATACTTAAGGGATAAGCAAGTATAAGCAGCTGTAACTTCAAAGCACTGTTTTCTGTAAATGGTGCTGGCAAAAATGAAAATATATGCAAATTTTCATAAATGACCTGTAATTGGTTAGCTCAAGAATACTGAATATGAAATATCAGCATCTTTTGAGAATAATTTCTTAAAATGTTATGCTTATGACCCGAAATGGATAATTAACTAAAATTTGAAGCATGACCAAAGTCATTACTTCCTTCTGATAGGATGTCCTGTGTGTAATGGAATGGAAGCATCAGTCCAGATCTCTTATGCAGTCTTTCCAAAGCAAGACAAAGGGATGAACAGATTTCTACCAAAAAAAGAAATGTTTTCAGGCAGTTGGAAATTAAATTGTTTTGCTAAGTATTTTAGAGAAACTTGTAAGTGATTGATTCTTATATCATTTGTGAAAATAGCTTCTCCTTTTTTACCAACAGCAAATGTACAAAATTAAATCTACGGTAATGGTCTTTCTGTGTCAATCAAAGAGATATAAATGTTTGGTCTACTCTTTTTGAAAGCTTGATCCTGGAATTACTGGAAAAAGCATATGCTGTCTGATATTACTGCTCTCAATTTTACTGTTATAGACCAAATAGTTATTATTGTTCGCTTGTAAAATTCCACCCGTCAATGATGCTGGTTTGCATATGAAACAAATTGGGATGGTAATGGTATCAATGAGTCTGTCTAATACCACAGCATTCAGTCACTCAGAATCTGATGTACCGTTATTGATAGATTTGGGATTAAAATTTGATATAAAAGAATCAATATGGATACATGTTTGGAAGCAGACTTTGGATATTGAATGTTTTTTATTAAGCCTTTTAAATTTGCTTACATCTTTACGCCTAAAAAAGATCTTTCTTGTCCTTACGTGGTATTTTCTTGGAAATTTTGTAAAGCTGTTACAAGTTCATAGTAAAACAACTTCAACCGAAGACAGGTTTATAGATAAAAGGTTTGTTAGCTTGGGGGTGAGGGGATCATAAAAGGTGGAGAGAAAGCCGAGATTGTTCCTGGGGTAGGCTGCGGGATATAAGGAAAACATCTGAAGAGATTGGGCTTCGCTAATTCTGCAGCTTATGGAATGCCTTGCTTTATTGCAGAAACCTATTTTTTCGGTTCTCTTTCTTAACATCAATGGGAATTAAACTAGTGTTTGTCATGGAAGGAGAGGCCCCCAAGTTGAAAGCAGACACCATGAGTAAGAGGAATGAGATGCGCTATGGACCTTCAAAGAAAGTTGGAGCTGCAAGAACAGGGAGATCTTTATTTAAAGCCATTTTAAAAGAGGTGAGTAATTCAGGGCTGTGTTTCAGTATTTTTAATGTGATAGGAAGAAATCTTAACCAAATTAAATACAAGAACTTGAAAGACTTAATAGTTTTCTACACAACAAATTTCAAGAGTATTTTGAGTTTTGAGGGAACTCATGCTTTTGAAATTGGGCCTTACAGCGTCTGTTAACTGTTGTTGTAGAAGAGGGACGATGTCAGTTAGAATAGTTTTCTTGTTTGATGTGTCCCTGTGCATGTTATGCTGTAGTGAGCCACAGTCATAATTGAGTGTTTATTATAGGAATTCGGCTTCCTTATTCTTTTATAGTGTTAGTATTGGTACTTTTGGGTTTTTTCCCCTAGATTGGGGTATACGTGAAAACAGGAATGTATTGTGTACCTATGTAAGCTAAGCTAGTGTGTTTTTGAAAGGGTCACAGAACTGTTTTGTAACGTAGAGCTATGATTTGGTAAACTAGCTGAGTAGCTAAGAGGATACGCTTGTTGGAAACCTACTGAATTAGGCTAAAAGGAAGATTGTATAGTCGTCTTGGTATAGATGGTTGAGACAACTCTGGTTGCAAAGACCTTCTATTCAGTAATTTTCTTCTTAATTCATTGTTGCAGATATTTAACCATTTTTGTCTATTCAGAATTTTATGAAATAGAATTTATAGATGCTCATGGCTTCAGTCGATTGAATGTATCAATTCATGTTTTATTCTTAAATTCTAAAATAAATTATTTTTCTGAAATTTGTAAGAAGTGTATATGAGCATATATCAGTATGTCTTAGACTGTGGTCCAGTCTTACTAGGCCAACAGTACTGTACTTTCGTGTTTGATATTCTCAGGGAGTCTGGCATCTGAGAGATGGCTGTGCTAGCCCAGTGTTACTACTTGAGTAAACAGTGTTGCTTTACAAAGATAAATATTCCTTTGTTACTCTTCTTTTGAAAACATCCTAAATATCAATTTAAAGTGTAAAGATTTTTGTGAAGGAGTAACCATTAATCATGCTGTGTTCAAGTCCTGTAACTAATACTTTGCTTTTAGTTGGTTATTTCTTTTAACTGTTACGGTAAACTGTATTTCTCCTAAAGTAGTGCTTGTATTGATGTAGTGTTTTATAGGCAGTGCAACAGTAGCATTGTTGTTGTGTCTAAGAAAACGCATGCTAATAAGTGGATCTAATTCAACATTCAGTCTCTTTCCTTTTGGATTCTTTCTTTTAGTGTCTCCAACTGCTGGAGTGTTTAGGTGTCCCTTGGGTTCAAGCAGCTGGGGAAGCAGAGGCAATGTGTGCCTACCTAAATGCAAAAGGACATGTTGATGGCTGCATTACCAATGATGGAGATGTCTTCTTATATGGGGCTCAGACAGTTTATAAGAACTTTGCCATGAATGCTAAGGTAGTGTATGTCATCCCATTCTCACCCTTCCTTTAGACTCTTCCCAAAAATGTAAATTTAAAGAAGGAACTTGAAACAATTACTTAGATATTATCGCACTTACCCTCTAGTAGTTGGATTTGTTTAAAATGGTACTTTTAAGACAGGAATGTTTTGTTTGATTCACTGGCAATCTGTGTATTGGATGTGGGAGCCAAACAACTGAATTGAAGAACACTGATGGTATTGTTGCCTCTGCTTGTAGTGTCCTGTGATGTGTAATACAAAGCTAAGTAGCAAATGTTTTTTTTCCCCCTTTCCTCCTCCAACTGAGTGAAATAATTGCTTCCTATAAATTTACCATTAGGGCATATGGGAGTGGTCAGCATCCTGGGTCTAATAAGTGTTCACACACTTGCATCTTATAGGTTTGTTTTATTGTGAATATACTTACAATTAATGCTGTTAGTCTCCAATTGAACATGAATAAGGTAGAGATTGTACATCTATATCATAATCAATTGTTGTGATCATTCAAAAAACAAATCAATTTATGACCTTGAGCTGAAGTGTTCACTGGTTAGGAATGCAGTTTTCCAGAACTGGCAAAAGATAACCCCAAATTTCTGTAATTTATACTCTCTCTATAAATCAGAGAAAGGAAGGCGTGTGTTCTGTCTGGTGAATCTGACAAGAAAGTGGAGGAAAAATGATATTGGGGTTGGAATTTTAAATAATGTTCATCTGAAAGACTTGTTGAGAAAATACTTCAGTAACAGGAGAAAATCAATAGAACAGAAAAAAAGTACTATGAACAATTAACTTTTTTTTTTTTAAATAATTATAGTTGACAGAAGATGATTTGCTTTGATGGCACTGTGTTTGGGTTTTGTCTTGACCTGGTTCTTTTCTTTCATTCAACTTTCCTTGTCATTTATCACCAAAAATGAAGGTGGCCTCAATCTTTCAGGTATACTTTGTTACATATCTAAGTCAACATAAAAAAAAAAAAATTCATGTGAGTGTGTGTCTGTCAGGGATATCTGTTCCAGAAAACTGGATTATTTTGGGTTGTTGGCTTGTGTGTGGAGTTTTTTTGGGGGCCGGGGGGCGAGGACAGTATTCTGTGTTTTGGTTGATGTTAATCTTGATTTCATGTTGGTGTATTAGAGTCCCTCTACCCTTCTGTCGGGTTTAACCCCAGTCGGCAACTAAACACCACCCAGCCGTTTGCTCACCCTCCCTGCCCCCAGTGAGATGGGGGAGAGAATTGGAAGAGCACATCAGTGTGTTATCAACATCATTCTCATACTAAATCCAAAACATAGCACTATACCAGGTACTAAGAAGAAAATTAACTCTATCCCAGCCGAAACCAGGACACCTTCAAAGCTTCAGGTGTTCCTTCAGCTCATGTCTAATGTGCTAGGTAACATTTTAATTATTTTTTTTTCTTTTTTTTACGCAAGTAGCGTTAAAATGTTTATATGGATTTTAAAACCTGCAGTTCTGAGATGACTTACACAGCCACTAGTACTAGATAATGTTAGTTTTGCCACGCTTTTTCTACAGGTAGTAAACAATAAAAACACGCCTTGGCTTATTTAGTTTCTTTCAACAGTTGATGCCCATATTTACAACTTGAAATTCCAAAACTGTAGTTATTCATGTGGTGTCCATGCATTACATTATAAATTTTAATTGCTGGTTTGGTTTTTTTGCTATCAGACATGTCTTATGGGATAGATCCATTTCTTACACATGTGGGTGAATAGGGGTGGGTAAGCAATCACAACTGAACGTGACCCAGGGCAGTTCCTTCCCTGATGTTAGTCAAATAAAATGTGCAATAAATTTCTTTTTCAGGATCCACTTCTTGACTGTTACACAATGTCCTCTATTAAGGAGAAGCTTGGTTGTGACAGAGAGTCTTTGATTGGGCTAGCTGTTCTTCTGGGTTGTGATTATCTTCCAAAGGTAAGCAGTATAATTATTTTTTATTAGGTACTTATAATTTATTGTTTTTCAAGACAGTGTATCGAGGGAGACTTGTGCGTGCTGACAAAGCTGTATGCAATGCATGATTACTGAGATCTAGTTGAAAATGATGCTTAGTAAGTTACTGTAAGTTTTGTTTGTGAAGGCTTAAAGATAATCAAAATGGTTCATGAACATGAATCTTTCAAAACTGCTATGTATTATTCCAGATTTCTATATAATGAAGGTGAAGACAAAAGTTAGGTGTTGATTATTTTGAGCAAATGTGAGAACTGAGTTGTTTGCTAGGATACTTTGAACCCATTCGCGTTAAATTACATCCCTGGCAGCAGAGTAGCTGTGGAAAACGAGAAAAAACAGCTTTGTCTATGCTGTTCGGAATAGTTAGTGGTGGTAGTTTTGAACTGTAGTTATTAGTAATGCTGGTTTTGGATGCCATTTGGATATATCCCCTTTTAGTTCTATGAGTTGTAAGTATATGTTTTATGAAGAAGTAGGAGTCACCTGTCTGAAAGTTTGCCTAATGAATGAAGTGAGGGATCTCACTCATTACTACTTCACTTTTTTTTTTTTTCTGTAAGCTCTTGAATTTTTTTGGAGATTTGGAACAGAAGGTGTTGTAATGGCTATTTGAAATGGAAAGGAAGTGGGATGAAACTTGATTTCCATACAGTTCATCATACAGGGACTTCAGGCAACGGTTACTCCCACTCAGGCTTGCAGTGGATATCTAGTTATTCTTAAATTATTGTCTTCCAATTTGATAAAACTGTCCTTTTAAACAACTGATACTGCTGAAAGAGCAAATAACTTTTTTTTTTTTCCTCTGAAAGACTTGCTTCTGTTATAGGAATCTTTAAATAGTTTATTATTGTTATTTATTAATAATTACAAAATACATGTATAAAGAGAGAGGGAGTAAAAAAAATAGCGGCTAATCAGTGGTTATTGTAATGGAACTAGCAGCTCCCGGAATGCCAGGTTCTTGCATAGTCCTAAAGTGACACAATTATGTAATGCCAGATAGGTCTTTGAGTTACTGCAGCCCAGCAAAGTGGATAAAGATAGAAACTTCTGAGGAAAGCTGAATTACAGGAGTGCATTGGGAATGGCGATTGGCAGAACAGATGAGTGAGAATACCACTCTATAATTGCACTTACTTTGTTGAATATATATCAAAACGATGCTTTCCTTGCAGAAGCTGAATATCTGACTCTCTGCCTGAGTGTCTGGCTGCAGTCCAGTGAGAACTTCTGATTGGTTTTGAATGCACATTTATTTGATATGGTTGCATATATTCAGTTCAGCCATTACAGCTGAATAAAAATAAGCTATAGATTTATTTATAATAATGCTGTAGAAAGCACACTCAATACAATCTTTATATTCAACTGTACTGATTCTTGGCAAAATAGAGTAAGGATTGAAAGAGGAACTAGAAAAGAAGTATGTACGTTTTAAATCATTATGGTTGTTTTGAATCAACTGACTTCCACTCTTCAGTATGTCTAGGGATTACTACAAAGTTCTGGACTTCAGTCCATGAGCTAGGTTCCAGAAAATATTTGCTGTTCCTATCTATTATCCATAGCGGTAGTCCCTTTTCCTATAAAGGACATGCATACTGCGGATGTAATAATGGAGTAAATATCAAAATCAAGCAAGCAATTATTGAAAGGGAGGGAAGGAGTTCTTTGGGTTTGTGGTTTTATTGGGGTTTTTAATTATATTTCAGAAAATGCACTTGCACTTTCTTTATCACCTCTCAGAATTGATTTTACATAAGTGCTTGAGGTTTTCAAATATTGAAAGTTGTTTCTGTTGCCATAAATCATCTCTCTCCTGTGAGTGAAAGCTTTTTGCTGGGTTTATTCTATCTTTTAAGTTCCAGCCTTTTGACTCTAAAATCCAAAAGATTTGTCTTTGTCTTGTCTTTCCAAGACAATTCTGAAAAGTTTCAGCTCTCTGGCAGTTAGCTGGCAAGAATGTTACCAGTATTTTGTATTGTTGTACTGTTGCAGATAGCAAGAAGGAAAAACCAAACAAAACTTCTTTTCCTATTGTTTTCTGCTGCCTTCTTTCTCTACCTTGTTTTATTTGAGCTGCTACTGAGCCTAAGAACATTTGATGCAACTTGTATAGTACAGCTGTAATGTCACCTTCTCTGACTTTAGAACTTGATCAAAAATTACTTTTCTCAATTTATTCTCAACATCTGGGATAATTTTTGTCATTTCTCTACATAATATTATGAAGGCAGTTTTTATGAAAATCTGAATACTTTCTGTTTGTCATTAAATAATGTTTCATATTTCTGTCTCTATAGGGCATTCCAGGAGTTGGGAAAGAACAAGCTTTAAAGTTAATTGAGACTTTGCGAGGTCAAAACTTATTGCAAAGGTAAAGTGAAAATGTATGTTGTATGCTGAAATACTTTGACTTTATTCAAAGACTTGCTGGTATGTACTTCAGCTCCAATACAATATTTTGTAATACTTTAATTTGGGGGGAGGGGCAGAAGAGACTACCACATTCCTTACTTTATATTTGCTAAATGAACTATGTGTTTTGCTAGGCAAGCTTCTTGCCCTACCTCTTGAGCTAGCACATCTATGTTGATATATTGGAAAGGAAATCGTAGGGACTGATGAGAAACTTTTACTGATTTTTGATTGGGTTGTGGATCAGGACATACCAAATGCATTCTATGTTTGTTATCATAATGGGTGTGTCTATACTAGAAATCCAACAGTCATATAATGTACTTTAAAAAAAATCTCTTTCATAAATTAGAAAACTGTATCTTGTATAAAGGGAGTATTTTTCAGTGTTTTATTTTAAATATGAAAGTTAAAAATATTTCGTAATCCTTTTAATATTGTCCTTTTAGGTTTGAGCAATGGAAAGAACAATTTCAGTATGATAATAATCCACCTTTGGTTGCTAAAAGGGTAGCTCACTGTTCTGAGTGCCATCATCCAGGTCAGTGTGAAAAGCGTTGAATTTTATTTTTAGCCTAATTGTTTACTTTTTGTTCTGGGTGCGTGGGGTGGTGGGTGGTGGTTTTTTTGTTTGGTTGGGTTTTGGGGTTTTTTATGACTAGCATTAAAAACTCCTTTTCTTGTCATTCAGCTTCTGGGCTATCTTTACATTTTTAGTATTGTGTATATGTATCTTTATATAAATATTTTTGAGGCTGGGGACTACCGTTCTTCAAATGTGAAACTAGCAGATGGAATATTATCACAATGCTGTTGTATGATCCCAGATATTTGCCTTTTTAACATTATAAGTAAAGAAAGTATGCCATACTGACAAGCAACTATTTCTTTAGTTGCCTGAATTGGTCTTTCATAAAGAGGACTGAATCCATTAGCATTGCTGGGTTTTGCTTCTGTGTTTTCTTAAAAAGAAGTTAATTTAAGGAACCTCATTTTGGTAGCATCTTTGATCAGCGAACTCATTCAAACCCATTACTTGGAGAAGGAAAAGCTTGTTTCAAATACGTTACTTATGTACATTTATCATGATGTCACAGGCTACTTCTGTAATTTTTAGGTAATAAAGTTTTCAGCAGAAGGTCTGAAACTGCTAGGGGAAGTCTTCCAAAAAAAATGAAAGCTTGCTTGTTGGTTTTCACTGTAGATATATAAATACAGCTCATGCACTCACATCTGCTTACAGCTACTATTCATGTCAGATTCATATGTGTTCTGAATTTTGTATTTGCACTATCAGCTTTGTATATTTGGAGATTTTGGAAACCTCTTTTCTCCTCATGCTTTGTGCATCTGCTTCTATAGGATCTTACAAGGAACATGAGCACAGTGGATGTAAAATCTGTGAAAGCACTAAATACTGCAAACCCAATGACTCCAAATACTGCTGCCCTTGTGAATGGCATCAATTAGAGCGAGTGAAACAAGCAAGTGCAGTGGAGGACAATATCAGAAAGTAGGAATGTCTTGAAAATTGAACTGCTTTTCCCTGCATTCATGTGCAGGGTGAACAATTAAATTCTGCATTTTTCCCATTTGTATTCGGTTCCTAACACATTTGTTTTACCTGCAGAAAAGCTAACAGTTGCGAGGGCTTTCCATTCTCTGAGGTAACAAGCAAGCCTATTTAAAGATTATATTTTTTAATCAATTAATTGAAATCTCAGGTTTTTGCCCTCTCTTAAACTCTTTTTTGTTTTATCTCAAGGTTATCCAAGAATTTCTTGTAAACAAGAATAAATTGATCAAGATAAAGGAATGCCAAAGGCCAAATTTATTGTCCTTTCAGGTATATAACAAAATACTGGTTATTCAGCTCTGTAGTTTTTTGTTTATTAGTAAGGAAGGCATCTGTGATAATTTCGATTATCATTGGTAATTTTACTAGAAATAAGAATTAAAGAATCTTGCTACAGCTTCTTAATATATCTCATTTTTTGAAAGTCTAAAATTGAAGACTTTGAAAAAAACTCAGTTGATGTAGGTAGGTATGTAGAAAAGTGGAAGAAAGAGAACTCAGAAAAAAGGTCACTTGCCATTGTTTTGTTTTTCACTGTCCAATATGACTAGGTTGGGTTGCTGAGTGCTGCATTATCTATATAGCGTATAAAGTACTATATGGTTATATGAGATAATATACACTTCAGGGTTGTTGTCTTTTTTTGTTTTCATCCACCTTTCATAAAGGTATTGACAGATGCAGCTCTTGTTTTTACTTGTACTTGTTTCATCGTCCTACTGACACAGTGCATATATGGTAACTTTGGGTATTACAGAAAGTCATGATTGTGGACTTCTTTTTTTTAATGTTAAACTTTCTTTTCAGTGATTTTTTTGGTGTCATTGCGATAACCAGCTTCTTTCTGTATATAACAAGCAGAAGCAGCTTTTATTCTGAATGTTGCCTGTTTTCCCCAAAACAGGCTTGTATTTAGCACAATACTAGCAGCTTTCAAGTTTAGAGGCCCTTTAATTCGAAGTGCACAAAGCTCAGAAGTGGTCTAGTTTATTCCTCTGTCCATAGAAGGAAGGATAAATATCTTGTGAGGCTTCTTTTTTTTTTTTTTTTTTGGGGGGGGGTCTCAGGAGAGGGTGATGTTAATATATGCATGTTAGCATTGTTTTCTAGGAGTGACTTTATTTGGTTTTATTGGTGAAAGTAGATCGTTTACAATGTTTCCTTTTCAGGGATTGATGACAGTGTGAGAATTATGTATAGGCATAATAGACTGCTGTTGAACAATGTAGCTTTAATGAAAATCCGTGTTCATCCTTCTCTCACATGCAAAATCCATAATTTTCACAGCTCCTTGCATAGCTGATCTGAATCTGATCAGGTGTTTAGCAACTGTCTTATTGCTGCTGCTGCCACTACACAACTGTTCCCTTGGCTTATTATTGACAGCTGATGAATCTGCCCTGTTACGGCTGACTGTTCCCTCCCTTGGCAGTGAGATATCATTACGCATTACACTAATGTATAAAAGCGTTCTAGATATTTTAAGTGTTTAGTCCTATGCTGCTACTACATAGCTGTCTAAGCATGATATCTCGCAGAATAAGAAAGTTTTAAAGTTTGGGGTGTTTTTTTTACACTAACAGATATTTGCTTCTGAGAAGATGGAATGGACCAAACATTACGCTTGTAAGAAACTGTTAGCACTATTAACACGTTATGATATGGTCCAGAGAAAATCTGGATACATTGATTCAAAACAACTGCAGGCAATACGGTAATGTAGCTTGATTTCTTGAACTTAGTATGTTTACTTCTGCTGCTGGAGGAAAATCACGGGTTTTTCCCTTTTTTATGGAAATATAATGGTTTTCTTCCATCTCTGTTTCAAGCTTTGTGCTCATTTTGGATAGAGGTAAAAATTTAGATCAGTACACCAATTCTTATACTACTACTGCACAAAGTAATACATACAGCAGTTTCCTTTCATTCTAACTGACAATGCCTGCTTTTTCCTATGCTTACATTCTATTCTGTTTCCTTGGATCTGCACATGAGATTTAGCATTACAGGTTTGATCTTCTGCTCAGGTTCTTAGCAGAAGTTTAATTGACTTTTGTGATTCAAAATAAGAGCCTAGGCTTAAAAATTGGCATCTGCATATTCAGTCATGGTCTCTGATTTCTTATCAGACCTACCAACTGTCATTGTACTATGTGTCTGATGAAATAATTGCCTTACGGTTCTATTCTGCTACCCCTTCTTCTCAAAACAACATTTTCATTCAGGACTGCTGCATTTAGGAATATAAAAATGGCCAAGTGTCATGTTACTGAAAATGGATATGCAGGAAAAAACCCCAAGATAAGCATGTAACTACTTTCCCCCCGAATATTTTTCCACCATCCAGGTTTCTGTTACTCAGGGGTTTTCGGAGTCAGAATTAGTACCTCTTATTCTATCAGCCCTCAATATATATTTTCTTTTAAATGAGCTAATCTTTTCTTAAACTTACGTGAACTTTTAGAATCTACAGTGTCTGTTGGCAAACCTGAATTTAACTTCACTGTGTGAAGGGAATTGTGACTTATTTTAACTTTAGTATCTGAAGGTTTCATTTCCCAAATGAAACCCAAATTTCCACCCCCTGCAAATTCTTGTATCGCAGGAAGGTTAGTAGTTTTTCCGTGTTCCTTGATGCTGTTCAAGATTTTACAGACTTTAATTTTGTGGGACAGGACGGTCAGTAGCAATGTGATAGTATCTCTTCTGGGTTGATGTGTCATAGCCTGTTAAATTATTACTCAGAGAAGCTGTTCTATTCAGTGTTATCTTTCAGAAGAGTGGAGGGACTGGTTGGGGGCTGCTGCTTTTCACAGATTTGTCTAGATTGGCTAGATAAATTACCAGCACTTACCTTGATGAACGAATTAATTGACATCCTCTGTTTATAACACTTCCTAGTGTTTCAAGAGTTTAAAAGACAGATCATGCCGGCTCTAGAAGCTGTCTTTTGTTAACAAGTGTTTAAAAAAGCAGTAATGATCCAGCAGGAGCCTCTTCACACATAGGAACCTATTAAACTGGGGTGTAGATAATGTTTTTAGAAAAATTTCATAAAGACTGACTGTCCCTGCTCAGTTCATGTTTTATCTTCCTTCATGCTCTCATGCAAAAGAGATAAATGACCCTGTCTGGTCATTCAGAAAATTACTGTCTATGGCAACAGCCGTCTCTATGGCATAGTTGAAGATATCAGACTGATGTTTGTAGGAGTCTGCATTATGGTTGTCTGTTACAGAATAGCTTTCTGATTTCTTGTTACGCTCCTCTGAGCTGTATCATTAAAAAAAAGAAAAATGTTTCAGTACTCAAATCTAGACCCAAAATTTTACTGTATAACTTATACAGAGAAGTAGCGTATTTCTTAAAAGGTGTATTAATTTCACTATTACAAGAATTTTTTCTTTCCTCTGAACCATTACAAATTAGAGTATTGAAATATTTTTAGATAACTTAGATTTTTCATTTCCTGTTTAAACAAAATCATTTAATGGGCTGCTTTTTGTTCTTACAGGATAGTCAAGACACGTGTTAAAAATGGAATTCCTTGTTTGGAAATTGAGTGGCAAAAACCAGGTTGGTCTGGTTTCTTTGTACATTATGGAACAAAACAGTTCATAGAAAAAGAAAAAAGTATGCTTTAAAGAGGAAAAGAGTTTGACAACATTATGAGGAAATGAAATGTGGGTGAAATTGGAAACTCTTCTATGAAAACAATAGAAAATGTGCATCAAATTTCATGTACCCTGAAAGTAAAAGCAATGCTTAAAAAAAAAAAAAATCTACCTAGAAAGCAAGGGACTCAGTCTTCAGGTACTTTTTCTGGTATGTGTTAATAAGACCTGGACTCTGTATTTCATACCTTATTTCGCTATGTGCCTGAAGCTGTGACTGTTTGCTAGCTACAATTTTTTCTGTGCTGACAGACTTCTACCTTTAGTGTACCCATTTGTGCCAGGAGACTGGCAGAAAGAAAAAGATTTTACTTGTAGCTAAATCGCAAACATCATACTACTGACCTTTTTACATACCTTCTTTGTACTCAAATAAACCTTTTGTTCTTTGTTTTTCTTATTCCCTACTTGAATATGTGTGTGTATACATGTCTAATGTACATTCATTAATTTTTTAGAACATTATGTTGATGCAGAAGATGAGCCTGTAGAGTTGTTTGTAGTCACAGTAGAAGAGGAGTCTTTGTTTCAGGCTGCTTATCCTGATGTTGTTGCCCTTTATAGAGTGGAGAAGTCAGAAGTTCTGAAGAAGAAACAGAAAAGTAAGTCCAAAACCTTATTTCTTATGAACTTACAGGTCTTGCCAGAATACAACAAGCAAATGCAACAAACATTTCTCCCATTGTTGAGCAATGTCATGTTTCATCAAGATCAGGGCATGATATCTTGCAGGGACTGTGCTTTTATCTTACCATTTTACACTTTAGCGCTAGGAAAACTGAACTGTGGTTAATATGCCATTTTGATATGCCCTTTTTATTTTTTTCAGACAGGAAAGACAGACCAAAAGAAAAGGAATTATCAAATGTTTATGATGAAGTTAGCGATCTTCTATCTCAAATGAATTTAAAATCTAGATGTGGAATTCTTCCTGTGCAAGACTCCATGTCAGATATAAAAACTCCCCCAGAAGATGAGATACACCAGAGAAGTACTGAATCAAAAGACCTAGTGTTAGCTGCAGTTTCCTGCAAAACAACTGTTCAAATGCCAGCATCAGCAGCTGCTCTTCCTCTAATTGCATTTCCTTACTCGCTCTTACAGGGTACGTTGGCTGACTCATCTGTATTGCCAGCACAATTTACTAAAAATTCAGGGATATCATCCTCTTCCTCTGTAACAGCTGGTCTACAACTGAGCAGTATTGATTGGGAAGGAACCTTCTTCAGCACTTCACCAGCCCATGGGGTTGATACCCACGATCCAGCAGCTGACTTAGCTACATGCATAGAACACTCGCATCCACTGGGTCATGAAACAGTAAGAAATAGCTCAGAATATTCTGATGCTATGAAGTCTGATCAACATCACTGTGATAGTGCGGATGATTTGGTTTCAGATGATGCTATGGAACAACTTCAGAAGTGGTCTTTAAGTGAGCGAATACTTAAGAAGACTTCCATTCCATCAAAGCCTTTGTTGTCTGAAGACGTAATGCAACTGGAGTCTTTGAAATGTTTTAAACAAACAAAAGAAACATTGAATCCTGATAAAGAATATGTCTCTTCCTTGTGTCAGTTAAATAAACTAGTGCAGCAAAGTAAAAATGTGCTATCAGAAAACTATGCAAAGGAATCCAGCGTACACATTTATCAAGATCGGTACAAAAAAGCTGGCAGCCTGGCTGAAATGATGCAAAAAGACCATAATATAAGCAGTTCAACATCTCTAGCCCTTAGTGGGCAAACAGCAGAGATGCTGCATCCTGGGTGTGAAATGCTTCCAGTGTCTGAAAAGCCAGCAGATGTTGTAACTGGCTGTCACGTTAAAAAAGCTTGTATTCAAAATACTTGGAAAACTTCTTTTAAAAAGAGTGTGTGTCAGAACAGATGTTCTTCTAGTGAAGACAGTGATGATGGGAACATGACTAAAAATCTGATTTATGAGCAGCAGAAAAGGCAACTGAACCCTGGTCAGTTTAAAAAATGTTTTACAAAGAAAAGGAGTAACATTACTAGCAAAAGAACAAACAGTGACTCAGCCCTTATAATTAAACGGAAGAAGAAAATGACCAATTTAAAAAAAGCTGGTAATAGTTTCTCTTTGAAAGTATCTCCAAAACCATCCTCTTTAGGGCAAGTTAATTGTTCCCAAAGTCCAGAGCAACCATTTGAGAGGTCAGGTTCTGGTCCCACACAGCAAGCCAAAAGTGCTGTTCTGACTTACGCATGGGCAGACAGTCCCCTTCCCCTGTCTGAAAGACTAAAAGGAAGAAACAAAATCAATTAGGTTCTCCATAAAATAGATTATGATAACAATTAACTCTGAACCTTCAGCTCTTACAGAGTTCTTTCTCAAAGTTTCTGCAGTATGCTCTATCAATTTTAAGTGGACACAGTTTTGATGAATAAGAAATGCCGTGAAATACTGCATACTGGAGCTAAAGTTTGAAACTAAAATGTTAGCAAAAATACCAAAGAGCTGATTGCAAGTGCCAGTTATCCTGGACTTGATTACACTCTGAACTTGATACGTAAGCATCAGGATATAGTATACAAGGGAACAGGGAGATTTGTGTATGAAATAAGAAGGGTTTTTTCCCAGTAAATTGTGGGGATTTTGTGTACAGCTATTAGTCCTTCTGCTTATAAAAACAGACTTACTAAGAAGCAGTGCAGGCACTATTTTAATAAGACAAAGTGATACAGCTCTTTCCAACTGAAATTTTCCATTCTGCTCCACTAACTTAATTTTGCTAGTTTTAAAATGGGTTTTCAAATTCTGGGATGCTGGTTGTGTTGATTATCTCTGAAGGACCAGATAGAGACACACAGCAGATGTACCTTGCAGGGTAGCTAAATTTATATCTGCCATGCCCTATAATAAACTGTTCTTTGAGTGTGTGCATCTTCCAAAGAATGGAATAAGTCATGTAAGGGTATTCCGGTTTTGTAGCTGTCATATCTAATATTTAAGGAAATTTCATGGCTGTTTTAATCAAACATCTATAGTTTGGGGCATTTTTTTCTTAAAAAAGATAGGAAATCCCATCTAATACTCACTTCCACTTAGAATAGAACAAAAGTTAAGTTACAGAAAATCAAAATCTAATGATGATATTGCAGATTCTTTGAATAATATCATGTAAATGTTTGTTTTTAAAGGGGGAACTTGAATACAATTGCATTTTTGAAAGTATTCTTCCTACCTCTTTAATATAGAAGCAATCTCTCTTCATACACAAAAAAAGTTGTCTTCAAGAGCTTACTAGAAAAAGCCTCCTTGCCTGCATTTAAGTGTTCGTAACTTTTTCTACGGACCAACCAGAAGGAAGGCCACTTTTATCAAGATATAATGTTAACAATAGAAATTTAGAATATCCATGCCTTAATGAAAATGTCAATTCTTTCTTCATAAAGGCCAAGGCTTTAAAAGTTAGGAAGCTAAATTCCAGATGTGTTTAACGAAGAAATAGGTAGTCTATAGATAATATAGTCTGTAATTAGCCAAAATGGTAGTTTCTTATTTTCCTCTGTGGACAGATGGAGAAAGTTTATTTATAGTTGATTTTCCAAATGAGAACTGTATTGCAGAAATGAGCAAAAAGTCCAAAATATTGGAAACTTATTTTCAGTTTTGAAGGTGGTCTCTTTCTTCTGGAGACCCTTAACCACCAGCTGATGTAAGAGGGTAGCTAGAAGGATAGAATTGCTAAGGAGAGTAAGAGTAGCAGTCACCTGGGGACTGTAAATGGAGAGGGAGAGATTCCTTATGTAGTGGTCAGTAGTGGAGAGATCAGACCATTTTTTGTGGAAAAACATTGTTATTGGTTATGTATGATTCTTTTCCTTGCTGCTGATTTTGAATACTGAAAGTTGGAATAAAGAGTTTGAATTTTCACTAATAAAAATGCCAACATCATGTGAATGAACTCACTTTTGTTCCCTCCCAATATATGAGAATGCAGTCTTTTGTTGGAAGGATCATAAAATTTCACCCCCAGTGTGTGGGTTTCTGTTTTTTAGGGTTTTGTTTAGAATTGGGGGGCAAGAGTGGTTTTTGGAGGGTTTTTTGTTTGTTTTCCAGATCTGGCTGGGGTGACTGCTTTAATGGATGATTCGCTGAAAATACTGTGCCAGAATTATGACAAGTTCATGTTTTGTGGATGATGGAAACCAGAAATGAGATATAATCATAAGACATTAAGAACTGCAGAAGGAAAAAAAAAAAAAGAGAGACTGTTGCTGATACTGCTACAAATTAACCTGGTTTCAAAAGTACAGTTCAGGTATGAAAAGCAGAAAAATTTCAGTTTTTTTCATTTGCAACGCATCTCAATTTTGTGCAAGATTTCTGCCACTACTTTAGAAGCAGCAATAGATGTGAAAACAACTGTATAGCATGTCCTCTCTCATTTAGGCTGTAGCTGCTTATTGCAGCAAATAAACACAAGAACATTTATCATTGGGGGTGACTGTTGCTTGAATTAAACTTGTGATTTGTTACAGAAGGGATATTGCAGTTTTTAAAGTGTTTTGATTTCTCATCTTTCTGTAATTTACTCAATCTAAGGATTAGGCATGATTTTTCTTCTTTGGAACTGTTTTTACTGTGCCAAAGCTGACTGCTTTTCAACCTCTCATGCTTGTGAAGATGATGTTTAAATAAATTGAGTGGGTGTAACAGATAACTTTCTTCTGCAGGAAATATTCCTACAAGATCATGTTAAAGTGGCTGTAAATATAAATGAATATGATGCATCAGCCTGATGACCCTGAATATATTTTCATTTATCGTCTGTCTTGGTCAGCCCAAACAGACTGTATCAGGGTGCTTTGTCTAAAGTAATAAAACTATACCTGCTGTGGAGGTGGGGCAAGTAAAGGATGCATAGCTCTTCAAGTACTTTTCTGAAAGTTTTTCTGTAGAACTACTGAACCAGCCCAAGTACTTTACCTGGTCTATCACTGCTGATGTCGGCATCCCTCTGGCTTGAATGATTCCTGCAGAGATATAGAGCAGAACCATAGGTTCTGTCTTAGCAGTATAAATATAATTATTTCCACTTATAAACAGTATTAAACATCTACTTAGATGTAGCAAATTTATTAGCATAGCTTAACGAAGGGAAACATTTATTTGGCATTCCTTGTGATTGTAACTCACTACTTCAGGTCCATGGGCAATCAACCAGAACGGAAAATAAATGCTGTTTACATGGAATACATAACTTGGAGAGCTACAAAAAATGTAAAAAAAACCCCAAACACCCTTCAACATCTATATATTCCACCATAAAGCTACACATGCTCTTACTTTTTTTCATTGGAAGATGTTACTGTAATACTTATAAACATGTGTGAACATGCTTAACAAAAGGAAAAATTCATTTTCATTGCATTTACCAATTTCTACTTTATTGATAGAATTTATGAACTCGGTAAATCTTTTGCTAGTTAACAGAGAAATTTCCTAATTTGAGAAGGGATTATTTAACTTTGAGGCTTTGCACAGGCAAAGTGCTCTTATGTCAAGAAAAGATACTTGGAAATCTGTGGTGAAAGAGACGAATGGCAGCTGTTACTTGAGACAAGATAAAGTCTTTTCATGTCTAAAAAGGTGTCAAACCCTGCTGTATTATATCAGCAGATAAAAGGAAACTGCGGTTAGAATATTATTGAGAATTGTTATAAACCGAAGTGCTACTGGCAAAACAGTAAACTCAGCGCTAGATTTAGCGCTTTTTACTTCAGGAAACAAAACACTTTAACTGTTTCAAGAAAAAATTACGATGGGCGATAAAACCACTCTTTTCACAGTTCTCTTGCTTATGTATCCTTCATCATAGCTACTCTCAGTACTGAACTTAATTTAACTTAATAAGATTAATCACATATCAAACTTTAAAAGTTCTTTAAACCCAAGCCTCGTCTCCATCCTCCACCCCAGTTTCCCTTGACAGAGTTGGAAAGACTTTGTCACTGCAAAGGCTGAGCACAGCTGGAAAAAGGGACATACCTTTGAAAATTTTGCTCCATGAAAACGGCTAGCTATACTAAAATTCCACCTGATGGATATTTAAAGTGAATTAGCTGCCTCACTAAAATACAATGAAGGAAAAGAAGCTAACCAGGGATATTTTAATGCCAAGGTAGCGTACAAGAAGCTGTACGTTAGCATTTATGTTATTTTAATCTCTTTAAAATGCAATTTGCTCTGCTAGACCATCTTCCCAGCCAAGCTGGAAGCCAAGTTAGTTGTCCTGCCAAGCATTCATGACAAAGATTGGATCTGTGGCAAGCTAAGGTCATTCTTTAGGATGTGGTGGAAGGACCTGTGAGCATGGTCTGCTTTGAATAAATTTGTGGGCAAACTTACTAGATGAACCCTTACATGCTGCCTTCTTAGAACCATAGAATAGAATCATAGAATTCTTCCTCCATCCCAACATCCCAGTGCTGCCCTGGCAGTGATACCACATAACAAATAACAGACAGAAAAGATAGCCCAAACCCTAGAAACTGTCCGAGTTTTATCTGCTGCAAAAACAGGAAATTTGTGGCCTCATTTCAGGCTGAATTCAGGCTGTCTTCCAGTCCAACATGAATGCCAGGTCTCAGAGCAGCTTTGGCCTTTAAGCCTCTGTGTCGCTCAGCCCACTGCGATGTCTTGTAGACATTTTCTTTGAATCTTTTGAGCTGGTGAGCTAAATTTGTTGCTTGATCTGCAGCTGGGTGGAAAAGAGCCCTGTGCCCAGGCTCAGATTCTGCAAAGCCTGGAGTTTAACGGAACAAAGGGCTTCAGGGGTTACAGCCACATGCACACCTACTGTACAGGGGCTTTATGAGACTTCTCATCCAGACTAACATGTTGTTAGTTTTTGTAATTATTGAATGGCCTCTTCACCAAATAAGACCTGCCAGTTAGAAATGTGGGAGATGGTCTATGTTCTTCTAATTAGTTACAGGGCTGATGTCTCAGTATGACCTAGGAAGAAGACCCTGCTGAGAAGAACAGCATCTTTCATATGAGATGCTGGTGAAGGAATGGACAATTAGCAGTTCATAGATGACTATATGGCACTGGGCCAGTTTTATTAATTGCATTTTTCTATACCTCAATTGCTTCTGTGGTTTAACTGTGGGTACTACTTCTCTCTGGAAACCCTGTAGCAGTACAGGCTACCAGTCTCTTACATCTATTTGAGTTTATAGAAATCTGAAAGTTCTCCAAGAAGTGGGCAACCAGAACTATTACTTGAGTTGACTTAATCAGGCCTCTCTTATTCT